CATGCAGGCATTATAAATAGGCTGAGGTATTTAGGAAATCTTGACATTAGCACTTTTGCCTGTATTAGGCAGTCAGAAATAAATCAATTATATTCCTTCTTCATATGCTACTTTTTGGTAGAAACTGACACCAAATCCAAAAGTCCCGTACGGCTGTAATTAAGCTGTACCCGAAAAATAAACGTATTTCTGACACACCAGCTTGCCTGGTTTTTTGTTTAGTTAATAACAGGTTCTAGACAAAGTACTTCTAGTTCTTAGCCGCAGTAAACAGAGGTGCTGTGTATTTCATGACACAGCACTTGTGGGAATGTCTGTCTGTTGCAGGGAAGGAATTTAACAGTCTCGTGAGTACATCAGTTTCCAGTTACTTCCTGTTGTGTTCTATAAACCAGTCAGAACAAAGCTGCTCTTGAGCGCTTGCCAAGATGTCAACCACACTTTAAAAAAAAGAAAGCACAGCTATAGAGCTATTACTAAAGTTACCTTACGTGCTCTTCGCATTACCGTTTGTGTTTACAGCCAACTGCTTTCTCACCAGACGTTTGAACAAGTGCGAGCATTTGTTTTAGACTGGATATCTGCCTCAACCTGCGGCCAACTAGAGACCACGAAAAATCGTTTGAGTTAGATAAACTCAATACCACTCAGCTGCCTAGTAAACATGAAGCTGCAGCCAGCAGCTGTTAGCTTAGCATAGTCACTGGAAAAGAGGATGCCTGGCTCTGTCTGAAATGAACAGTTTGTCTATCAAAGTGTTAATTCAGTAGTTTTTGTAGGTGCTGCTTGGCAGGTTTTGTTACTGTTGGATAAAGCCAGGCAAGCGGCTTCCCTGTTTAGGCTAATGTAGCCTTATAATTACTGCAAAGGCTGGTAGCGATGGCGTAATGGATAAGACACATGGCTTTGGTGTGAGACCCGGGTTCAACTCCCTACTGTGACACAGCCACCCCCTAGTTGTGCCAGAGGTGACCTCTGATATTAAGCAATTGTAACTAAATGAATAAATGCAATGTAAATGTTCTCCAACTTGGGAATAAGCATATGGACTAAAATGTCAAACTATTCCTGTAAAGTCAAGAGTCATACAGCCATGCAGTGATAAAAATAAACATTTTAAATGCATCAATAAAAACACCAGGTTCGGTAAACATGATGTTTTACCAACTTGCGTGCATTACAATATTGCAGTTAAAAGGATAAAACTCCTTGAGGAAATCTACAAATGGCATTATGGACAGATCAACCACATTTGAACAACATACGTCTGGGTACAGACATCTACAAAGTGTACCATACAGGTTGACCCAGTTTCTCAAAATCTGAAGATATTGAACACTGCCATTTAAAAAATAGACACTTCATAAAAAACAAAATGAATTAGTAATGTTGACGACTGGATAGTTGAAAAAGCAAGTCAACATATATCAACAGTACATGAACTAGTCAGATTTATTAAGTTACACATGCTGCCCAGCTTCAGCAGCTCTACTCTTCTGTGCGCTTTAGTTCATTTTAGTCACCAACAGATGACATGGGCTATAAAACAGTGTTACAAAAGCCGATCCCTTCTAAAGACAAGGGGAAAGACATACCCTGTCATTGTTGCCGTTACAAACTACCAAAGGATATTAACTTGTCATGTTTTAAGTTGACCAGCCAACTTTAAACCATTAAAATGCAGGTTTAATCATCTCAGTGGGATAGAAATACAGTACTAGTTTAAAGAAAAGATAATTCAGGAGGGCAGTGGGAGTCAAGTCTGAGTTGTGGATTTAGTAATCCGCAGGTTCATCTCCCTCCTCGTTCAGCAAACAGGTGCGGATCAGGGCCTCGGTCACGCCATACGGGTCGCAGTTGGCAGATGGGCGGCGGTCTTCAAAGTAGCCCTTCTTCTCCTGGCCGACGGCGCGAGGAATGCGGATGCTGGCACCACGATTGGCCACACCAGCCGAGAATTCATGGATGTTTGAGGTTTCATGGTGGCCAGTGAGACGGCGGGCATTGTCGAGCCCCCCTTTGGGATCATAGGCACGGATGTGATAGCTGTGCCTCTTCCCAAGCTTCTCAATGGAATCTTCAATAGCTCTGAAGGCAGAAGTGACAAGATTCCCCGTCAGATTTAAAATGCAAAACACTTCATTAGAACAGAGCTGTCAAGTCAACCCCATGATGCTTTGGTACTCACTTTAAGCCACCATCTTCCCGCATCTCTTTTGTGCTAAAGTTTGTATGGCAGCCAGCACCGTTCCAGTTACCAGGGATTGGCTTTGGGTCAAATGAGGCTACAACGCCAAAATCTTCACAGACACGGTGCAGGAGGAAGCGTGCCACCCACAGATGATCCCCCATGTTGATCCCTTCACAAGGACCAACCTGGAACTCCCACTGAACACACATGCCAGTTCACCATTATAAGTTACATTTTGTAACTGGCTGTTTAACACATGTCCAAACATGGATTATTATAATTTTTTTTAAATCAATCCTCTTTACCTGAGCTGGCATCACTTCTGCATTTGTGCCACAGATCTGGACTCCAGCATACAGACAAGCTCTGTAATGGGCCTCCACTATATCTCTGCCATAGGCTTTGTCAGCCCCCACACCACAGTAGTATGGACCTATAAATATAGTAATAGTTAAACAAACCATCCAGACTTTGATTCATGCAGGAAACATATTTACATAAACACTTTGAACTAGCTGCTTACCTTGTGGTCCAGGAAATCCATTAGATGGCCACCCAAAAGGGTGTCCGTCAGTGCCCAGAATGGTATACTCCTGCTCCATGCCAAACCAGGGATGCTGGTCCTCCACCATCTCCATCACTTTCTTGCATGTGATGCGAAGGTTGGTTTCTGCACAACACACAAGTCAGTTTAGAAGACCAGTACAGTCATGTCCAGTTACCTCAGCCAGTTTTGCAAGTCACCTTTAGTATGATTTAAATAGCTATGCAATTTTTTAAAAATGTCCTAATTTCACAACTACTTTGGTTTCCATCATGGAAGTTATAAACAATAAAATTGCCAAGTGTTGAGAACTCCCCTCAAGATGTAAACTGGACGAGCAAAACTGTAGAATTCAGTTAGTTTTAAATTTCCATTTCTTCTGCCCATAACCTTGCTAGATGAAAGGCTGATATAGAAATCACTTCTACATGTACAAGCCTCAACTTCGAAACACCTGCATTAGTGTGCATGCACGTGACAATGGAGTGCATGCATGTGCAAGCATGCATCTGTGTGTCAGAGCATGTCTATGTGCACACCATATTTTTACATGGTGTTTGAAAGGAACCACAGAGCGTGACCCATTTCAGTATAGATGCTCGTTTCAGCCAACATAAGGAATCATAGAAACTAAATATACCTCCATTTCTATGAGCATAACAGATTTCTGGAGCCAAGTGATATTTCTAGATGTCCCCATGTCCAGCCCAAGTCTGCTTCATGTTTAGTATTACAGTTACAGCATCTTTCAAATTACTATGTTTCATCTTCATATTGTTATTTTGTAGACAGAGTTTCTAAGATTCTTTGTTACCTGCTGGTTTGCCATTGTACTTCAACACTTCACACAGGACCAGCTTGTTGGGGTCTTTACGGAATGGATCTCGGAACATGGCAGCAGGAATCAGATACATGTCGCTGTTGGATCCCTCAGCCTGGTAGGTGCTTGAGCCATCAAAGTTCCACTCAGGCAGATCTACAAGAGGAGGAAATATGATATAACACTGTAGAGTTTATGGTGCCATTAGAAAAACAGTCGGGAAGATTCAGGAGGTCACTTACCTTCAATGCTCTTGGGTTCAAAATCCAGCGTCCTGGTTTTGCACCGGAGCCCCTCCCCGGTCCCATCAATCCAAATATACATGGCTTGGACTTTATCCCCCTGAGGGAGCTCCATGTACTGCTGCTTGACAGCTTTACTCAATGTGGCGCTGGCGGACGTGGCCATCTTTATTTCCTACTATAACACACCTGAGGAGAAGGAGAAGAGATGCAGCTATGAGACCACGGCGCGCTCTGGATCACATTGCGTTGCGTAAAGCGGGGTTAAGGGCGAAAAACACCCCACCCCCCACAAAAAACAGCACCATTGTCTCTTCTTCCAGAAAGGAGAAAAGGGCGGAAAAACGCGTTGAGAATGTAAAAGAAAGCACATTTCCAGTCTTTTCCCCTCCCCCCTCCACGTTGAAAACAAATGGAAAAGCCACCGCATGAGGATTAAGTTATTAAGATTCAATTTAACGACATAGACCGCCAGCTCACATAATGGCTCGTGGAAAACTAAAATACAAAAAAAAAAAAAAAAAAAGGGGAACACCATGGGCTACATCATGTTGTTGTAGTCATGGTTACAATACTGCCAGCGCGAGGCAATATTACATCATACTTTTCCTCGTTGTGGTCCATCGCCTACAACTAAAAGCCGTATTTAAAAACTACTAAAGACTCGCATAGTTAAACAACTAAACCAGATTAAAACACGAGCCGAAGAGAGAATGAAGCCCTTAAGCAGGTAAGTACGAATTAATTGTCTAAAGTCCGGAACAATGAAAAATCTGGTACAGTGAGTAGTAGCCTAGATGCCGAGCTCACTGCTCTTCCGTGATGAAGTTAAACACGGAACAAAAAACAGGTGAAGAAAAACACAACAAATTTACCTGGAGAAACGGGGAAATTGAAATAAAAACTAAAGGACTGGCAGGTCCAGTGTCTTGTCGTTTGATGTATCGCTTGTACCTCTCTCATTCTCCGGTGCGGAACCTCCGGATCTGAGCACATTTATAAGAGCAGGAACTGGGATGTCGCGTCTCTGATTGGTCGGAGAGACTACAGCCTGTTTACTCCAAGGTGACTGAAAGCACATCATTGGACAGGCTGCAGACGAGGCTGCAACGCCCTCTAGCCTGAGCTCTGCTGAGTGTTACTATGCGTGACCCTACAGTTGTGTGTGTGCGTGTGTGTGTGTGGTTGTGATGGTTCTGATTAGGGTAAGGGGCTAGGGAATGCATTATCAATAAGAAAAAATGTAAAATGTAGCCTACAACATTCTCAGCACAAAAACACCAGGTCACCAGTCCAAGACGCCACCATGCGGCAGACGTCAGCTATAACGTTAATGTTGGAGAGTAGGCCTACTGGTTTCAATGGGAGGCATTATGTAATCCCACAACGAGACATCATTTGGAGTTGGTTTTGCCCTGGATGCCCACGTGAGCAAATTATGTTTAAAGTACATCCATAATAATGGTTTAAACAATCATTACATGCTTTACACCTGCTTGACTTCGACTGTGATTGATTAAAGGGTTAGGTTAGGGTTGTAGCATTGAAGATATTTTGGTTTATTAAAAGCATAATCACCACACTTTATTGGTCTAATGGAGATATAATTGCCCATGTGTGTAACGTTAACATTATCTAATGTTAGGCCTCCACTGCCCTACAAAGACTGAGAACAGTAAGTTTACTAAAGAAAGACAGGTTTTACATTTTAAAGCTGCTTAGCCAAATCATGTACAAATCTTTAAGTTAAAGGCTTTAGCCTCTAGTTTATGTTGTAGGAAACTTTCTGCAGCATCTTTCAAACCCTGAGGAAGTCAGGGGCCAACATGGTTGGTACTGCTAGCTACTCTGCTAGCTAGGCCAGTAATCTTTTAGCAGGACTTCCAGTCGGTAAATAAGCTGCTGTTACTACTTTTTGTCGTGATTGGATTTGAATACTTTCTCATTCATATGGGAAACTAATTTGAATCCCTGTAAATGTGGCTTTAGCAATGGCTAGCTGTGGCTTCTCACCAGCTAGCTTATCTTTAATGGCGTAGTTTTTAGCTTTGTTTTGTAGCTTTACAAACTTGGACATGATATGTTGATAGCATAATATTTTAAGTGGTAAAATACAATTTTAACTGAAAATATACTTACTGCTATTATAGATGGGTGCCAAATTACAGGACAATCAAATTGTTCAAATGAGAAACATCACGTCTCCATAACCGGTTCACTTCTCCATGGAAAAGATTCTCCTAGTCCATGAACTCTGCTAAAGGAACACCGTTTCCCCCAAAGATATTTCCTCATTTGGTGGTGGAAAGTGCTATCTAACTCATTAGTCCAAAATCTCCCATAGGTGTTCAGCTGGATTGACATCTGAGTGTGAAGGCCATTGCATATGGTAGCCTACACAATATTACATAATAGAGACGTTTTATCAGGTAAAAGTGATCACTCAGAATAACTTCATATTTGCAGTGAGCCTTCCCTTTAAGTGGAAAAGTGGTTTTGATGAATACTTCTCCCCAGGATTGTCCACGGATGAGACTGGCTGGGGTTCTTATGTCGGCCTTCTTCAGGCCCCGGGGCTAAAATACCATGCCGCACCATCTGGGATGTTGCAGGGATTGGACACTTCTTTGAACCTGCTTTCAAAGACAGCGGTCCCCACCACCGCGTATCTCAGGTCGTTGTTGTGAATCTGTATAGGCAGAAACAAACTATAAATGCAAACATTTATCTTCTGCAGCCTGCAGCCCTCTGTCAATGTTGAGCCCTGGATTCAAACTAGCGAGCAGGAAATGTGCAATGCGAATTCATTAACAAAATGTTAGTATTTATAGACTCTTCTGTGTTTGAAAAATCTTCCACATAATCAAATTTCATTCCTTTTGGATTTACTGTGAATACATCCATTGCTGTGCCTTTTAAAGTTTATTCTTTGTTTGGAATTGGTTCATTCTGGTTTGGTCTGGCTCTTGTTTTGCAGTTCTGTGGATGTACAGCACCACCTGATGGACTCAGAGCTCCAGAACAGTACATGAAAATGAGGAATGACAACCCTAACACTGAACCATTAGGAGACTGGAATTTTCTTACCACTGGAAGGGGTGAGAAAAGTCTACCTGCTCTTTACAAAGACAAGTAAGTAAAAAGACAGTACAGTTGATTGGAAAGCATCAGTTTTAAATTGGAATTATATTTGTTGTTGAAAGATATGAATGCTTATTTTTCATAAAGCTGGGCAGGATATTTGAAATGAATCTCATGACATCAATATTAATATGTTGTATTATATATTCTATAAATATCCTGATGTAGTGAATAGATGCACATAAAATAATGAAATTGATGGCTCAATGAATTTGTTGTGGAGACGGACTGATGCCAATAACCAACTGTGAACATATATGGGTTTGGGGGGTTACTATTTCCCCTCCTATGACCATCTGCTTTCATGTGTCCATAGTTCCATACTAAACTGAAATGCAGTTGAAAGCACTGGATTATATCAGCAAAATCGAGTTGATATTTAATGCGGTAAACTGTGTGTTACACAATATCACATTAGACAAAACTCTAGACAAAAAACTTAAATGACTCGCTTGTTTTTAAATACAATTTTCTCAAAAACATTCCACCAAAAGTCAATACATTTAAATATTGAATTGATCAGGTTGTTTTCCCGGTGATGAAACAACAGCCCATGTTAAGCAACATGTCATTCTCAGACAAAACAAGCTGAGTTTTCACAGCTTTGTCACATTTGCCTGAAGGCATAATGCAAGCTGCTCTACTGGTCTGTTGTGAGTCTTTTGGTAAATTGTTGCCTATTATAGAGGGAGGATGCCACTAGTAACTCTCTTACATACACGTTTCATCTTACAAAAAAAAACATGTAAGTATGGGGAGAATTCTCACCGGTTTTACTGGAAGTGTGTGAATACATTGATAAATGAGCAATCTGTCATTTTAAAAGAAAACAACAAGGTGATAATGGTGAAATCAATGACCCATCCTTGATTAGAGGTGTGGAATTTATTTATTTTTTGGCAAATATCAAAGCAAACAAGTGACTTAATGAGGGTGTTTCTCACAGAGCAAAGAGCACAGAAGACTCCTCTTTGATGTCAAGCATGATGCAGTCTTTTTCAATTTCAACAGCACTAAAAAGGATGACTGGATGGGGAACAAGCTCCTGCTACATCTCTGCGGCCGGGACCATTCGTTTTGACTGTTTAAAAACATGAATCAGAATCAGAATCAGTTTTATTGCCAGGTATGTGTACACATACGAAGAATTTGACTCAGGATTGTACATTGCTCACGATGTGCTTACTTATACCATAATACAATAACACAATAATAAAATAAAATCAGACACAAACTACAGAATAGACAACACTAATATACACACTATGACAAAACAATATAGACATATTGACAAATAGTGAAGTGATCAGAGTGCAAAGGATGCAAGAGTAAACTATTCTCATTATGTACATGTTGAAGGTGGATATGATACACACACATACATGCATACATGTACACATGTACACAGTGTGATGGAGCATAGTGCAAATGAAATAAGTAAGACCTATGACCTTATGACCTGAGGTAGGTGTATTGGTATACAGTATATACAATATGACATAGTATGAACAGCACTGAAATAGAGAATGTTGAATAAATAAATAATAATTGGAAACCAGTAAACAGGTGGCTGATTAGAGACAGAGTTACTGGGTTAATGCACAGGAATTGTTCCTGACACTGTGAGTTAGAAATCAGCTGTTCATCAGAGTGATGGCTTGTGGGAAGAAACCGCTTCTGTGTCTGTTGGTTTTGGCGTACAGTGCTCTGTAGCGCCTACCAGAGGGGAGGAGCTGCAGTGATGTTTCCTGCCCGTTTCCTGACTCTGGAAATGTATAAGTCCTGAATGGAGGGCAGGTTGGCACAGATTATTTTTTCTGCAGTCCTGACTGTCCGTTGTAGTCTGCTCCTGTCCTTTTTGGTGGCAGATCCAAACCAGACAGTGATGGAGGTGCAGAGGACAGACTGGATGATGGCTGTGTAGAACTGGATGAGCAGGTCCTTAGGCAGGTTGAGCTTCCTGAGCTGATGCAGGAAGTACGTCCTCGGCTGGGCCTTCTTGATAATGGTGTCAGTGTTGGGCTCCCACTTCAGGTCCTGGGATATAGTGGAACCCAGAAACCTGAAGGATTCCACAGCAGACACAGGGCTGTTGAGTATGGTGATGGGGGGCAGAGTGGGGGGGCTCCTCCTGAAGTCCACGGTCATCTCCACAGTTTTGAGCATGTTAGGCTCTGGGTTGTTCTGACCGCACCAGAACAACCTGGAGCTTAACATGCTTAAATTGAGACTTAATGTTTTCAAGGAAAATGAATGCAATATGATTGGAAGACATTAATTAATCTATATGTCTAATTCTCAAACCAATCTTTTTTTAAAAGCTTTTTATTTATGCTAACACATCTTGTTTTATATATTTAATAAAATGGAATTATTAACTGGCAATTTTATAAATTATTTTATAGATTGTTTTTCAAATAGGCACACTATAAAACTTCAGTTAAAAGCAAAGTTCCAATTAGATGACGATCTCTTTTACTGGCTGGGTGTGGCTAGACATTTTGACACAGGTCTCAATTAGACGCTGGGCCTTGAATGCAAATAACCTCTTAAATCATCCCGGGTGGCCCGCTTAAGCTAATTGTAAGCTGCTTAGATCGCACATACAAATGTTAAAAAAAAAATTAAACGTTTAAACATTTGTCAATATGGGCTACACATTGTTAGATTGGTTAGATTCTCCACAATTCAAACGTTCAGCTAATCTTACAGAAATCATGAGCACCAAAGTCAGTGTATTTGGTACACAAACAGTTAATAGCCTCAAATTAGTGAGGGAATAACATAAACCAAAAGGAAGAATTGTAGTCTGTTAGCTAATGATTTTTGAGAATAAAGTCATAATAGTATGAGAAAAAGTTGTACTATTTGGAGAATGAAGTAATAATGGAATGGTTGCTTCCAGTCATGTGTGCATGTTTTAGTATTTCCTGGATATCTACAGTTATTTAGTCTTGTATAAAGTTAAGACTGCAGTCTTTCCTCTGACTGGTAGCTCTGTGTCGCTGTTGTGGCTGCATCCCCAAGCTTACAGACACCTTTGCTCTGTTTGGGATTGCTTCACTACTCCAGGATGCTTACCGCTGAAAAGGATGGGAGCTGCACTTTATCCAAGGTGCTGAAGTTAACAGTTGCATAGATTTGTGGTGAGATCTACGCCCAATCAGTGTTTTCAGTTAGTTTTGGTTTTCCACCACCAGTACAGTCCCAAACGGGTCTGTGTCTGTCAGTTGGTCAGAAAGGGGTACTACCATATAAGTAGAGCAATAACTTGGGCTAATGCACAGCAGAGTAAGTATTATGACTACGTGTGTTGACTGTGCACAGATTATATTAAATGAGAAAAGTTGATCTACAGGTGAAAACTTATTTGAGAGCTACAAAGAATGCCTGAGAGCCTTACTGCATTAGTATTTCCCCTCCATCTATGACCATCTGCTTTCATGTGTCCATAGTTCCATACTAAAGTGAAATGCAGTTGAAAGCTCTGGATTATTTTGGCAAAATTGAGTTAATATTTAATGCAGTAAACTGTGTGTTACACAATATCACATTGGATAAAACTCTTCACATAAAACACAAAAAAACTTAAATGACTCACACAAAAGTCAATACAGTTAAATGTTGAATTAATCAGGTTGTGTTCCTGGTGGATGATGAAATAACAGCCCATGTTAAGCAACATGTCATTCTCAGACAAAACAAGCTGAGTTTTCATTGCTGTGTCTTTGTCACATTTGCCTGAAGGCATAATGCAAGCTGATCTACTGGTCTGTTGTGAGACTTATGGTAAGTTGTTCTGCCTATTATAGAGGGAGGATACCACTAGTAACTCTCTTACATACACGTTTCATCTTACAAACAAAAACATGTACGTATGCGGAGAATTCTCACCGGTTTTACTAGAAGTGTGTGAATACATTTTAGACCTACGTCAAGCACTACCAGACTGATATCTCCATGCTGATAAATGAGCAATTTCTCATTTGAAAAGAAAACAACAAAGTGAAAATAAACAATGACCCATCCTTGATTAGACGTGTGAAATTATTATTGTTTGTGTAAGTGTTGTGGCAGATTAACATATTTTTATATATTCAGAGCTTTCTTTTTTAATAAATAAGATCCCTGGCAGACAAAAAGTACTGGAAACAAAGGGACTGACTGAAAATGATTATGAAGGGAGGTAGTCAGAAAATGTATGTTCCAGACATTTCTGGAAGATTACTGGAGAGTCCTTTAATTCTTGCCCACTCGAGATTTATATATTTTTTCACTCTTCTCTTGTAAGGATTAAATAATTACATAGAGCCGGAAAAAGGTGTTTTTTGCTGTAGAGTACAACAATCCTGTCTCTGTGTCTTCTTCAATCAAATATACACACACACATACTGTATAAAATCTTTCAACTCGTTTTTATTCCCATCTCATCTGATGGCATTGTTTTGTCAGGCCGACATATCTTTATGATCAAACGTTATCTCTACAAAATGGCATCATTTTTCATTATGCTAACCATCTCTTTATCTGCCTTGTAACAGAAAGCAGAACTACAGCTAATTTAATTTGTCAAAAAAATTTAGTTGAGAACAAAAACATTGAACAAACAAGGTTTGCCCAATACGTAATACGTAGAAATTTAAATTATTTTGAGGATTTGTGGATTCAGCCCATTTCTCATGCCTAATTAATTAATTTTCTTTTACAAATAGACAATTTTGTGTTTAAATGGTGTGAGTGGCTATTTACATAAAAATGACATCAACAGGATTCCTTGTTGTGTATAACCAGTCCATTCTTCATCATAAAGCCAAGATATGTATCCCTACATTTTTAAACTCTCAAACTCAGGGTAATGTTTTCAACCAGAACACATCAGTGCAGAGTGTAGACTTGCTGATGGTGTGGGAATCTGATGTGACTGTCGGTACAAGTCTCATCAGTATGATCATCATTTCATAACAGAGCTGAAGTGACTTGAAGGAGTTTTCCTGCGTTTACATCACTACTCCAGGATGCTTCCCGCTGAAGCGGATGTGAGCTGCATTTTATCCGAGGTGCTGAAGTTAGCAGTTGTGTGGATTTGTGGTGAAATCTACGCCCAGTCAGAAGTGTTTTCAGTTACTTTTGGTTTTCCACCTCGAGTACAGTCCCAAACAGGTCTGTGTCTGTCAGATGGTCAGAGAGGGGTACTACCATATCAGTAGAGCAATAACTTGGGCTAATGCACAGCAGAGTAAGTATTATGACTTTACTCTTGACATGTCAGAAAACACATATATGTGGGATAGATTTTGAATGCACAGAACATTTTGAAGATGAGCAGAAAACTTGCTGAAACAGAGGAGCTATGAAAGCCCAGGAGTGAAATTAATGAATTTATTATTGAGGTGAAAAGGTGCCACATGCACATTTAAAGAGGTTACTTCCCCAAACAAAGGAGACAAAAGAGGAGAAAAGACTAAATCATGACTATGTGTGTTGACTGTGCACAGATGATATTAAATGAGAAAAGTTGATCTACAGGAGAAAACTTATTTGAGAGCAACAAAGAATGCCTCAGAGCCTTACTGCATTATACTCCATTATATTTTTATATTCTGAATTGTCACCTGCCGCCTAAAGTTTTTTATTTCCCTTTACATAAGTAAAGAAAGCCTCCACGCTCAGACAGCTCACCAACTATAAAGCAAAAGCTCCAGCCTGCTTCAAGACCTCTACCATCATCCCTGTCTTCCTCAGGAACCTATCTCAGGATCCTGTCTGTAGATTGTAGCTCCACCTTCAGCACTGTCATCCTTGCTCTGTTGCAGGAAAGCTCTCCCATGTGAGTGTGCCTGACTTCACCTGCAGATGAATCACAGACTTCCTGTTTGACAGAAGGCAGCAACCTGAAGCTGGGACCATCAGCACCGGTTCCCTTCAAGGCTGTGTTCTTTCCCCTCTGCTTTTACATGAACAGCTGCACCTCCAGTCACCAGTCTGTCAAGGTCCTGAAACTTTGTGGGATTATTTTGCAAGGATTTAATGAAAAACACTAACATGATAGTCTTTATATGTCACAAAATCAGACATACACTAGCTGCTCCTTTCAAGTTCACTTTCTTTGGGTTTCCCACTACCACATGTTAAGCAGAAAGTGCAGCATTCTTTAGCTTCAGTCTCATAATTAATCAAAGATACAAATGACGAATGAAGATTGAAAAATGCAAGTCAACAGGAATGCAGGGTATTTCAGAGATTCACTAGATATTCCAGCAGAGGGCAGCAGCTACCAACATAGGACTTCATCTGCCAGCACAAGGGGCCATGGTTTCTATTTTAAACCACTGAGCTACTAAAGTACTTTAACCTGTAGATTGTTCTTTATTGGAGTCAACATGTATTCAGCGGGGAAACATTAAAACCAAATAACTTCATACAATGCCAATGCCTTTACAGCGTAACTGTGTGATATTAAAGGCAAAATTCACCATTCACTTGGATGAAAATGATTACGTATCAGATCTTGTATGATGTAAAGCTAACTGGTTTCGAAAATATAATTGAAGGCCTCTACAGAGGAAACTGGAGTGACAGGGCAGCGTACAGTGGTGCTATTTTTAGCAGAGATATCAATATAATGTTTTGAATCGAGGTTTTTTTTAAGTCAGAGACACAAATGAAGGATGTTTCTGACCATGTGACTCCTCCAGTGGGGCTAACTGTCTATTCTCAGAAAAGGATTTTGAGTAAAGTGCACGACAAACTTTCTCTACAGCACAGAGGTTTATGAAAAACCCTTCACAAAGCTTATGCCTTTACCCCACTCAACCTTTTAACAATTAGGCCCTAACCCCTGCGGTCCCCCCGTCATTTATCATGATGTCCTCTACAAACCACAGGACAACACTCTACCTTAAAAATTAATAAGGCTGACAATATACTTGTCGCTATTTCAATGCCCAGCATGTCCTCTGTGACTCATCGGTTCAGCTGTAAATCAGGCCAGGAGGAGCCTCGAGGGATTGTGTTCCTCTAAAGCTCCTTCAAAACACTTTATATGGAGCATCAATAACCAAACACTTTGCAATAACACTTATTGGCACGGCAGCATGAAATACTATTGATTGTTCAAATGAAAATCAGCATGAGCACTATAGCTACTGCTGGGATTGTTGCTTTTGCGTGATTTCTGTCTATATTCTGTCGTCGGTATCAGCGAGGATGAAGGCAGAGCAGCGTGAGGCATCATGGGTTATATTTAATCCAGCCTTGCTCTTCTTTGGGATAATAACTTTTTTGCTCCATTCCAGGACTTGTCTGTCATCTTGACATGGCAATATCTCCCAACTCCACTGTTTCATAGTCAGTTTCATTTACTTCCAAATACCATTTCACACCCTGCTGGTTTTAACTAGGTATTATACAGCGTGTGGGGAGTGTGCTGCAGATTGAATCGTGACAGAGACAACAACGTTTCTGGTGAAAAATAAGTGAATAGTGTAAGTGGCAGACTGTATAAAATGATTTTTGCTCCATTTTCTTGGCATGAATTTGTGTGTTTTTCATCCTGATCTCTCAAATTTATATGGGATGTCTACAGCTGATAAAATTTGCTGCCTTATTTTTGGACTTTTTTAAATTAACAGAGAACAGTGAACACAAAATGCATGCTCCTGTGAACTACAGTTTTAAATGAAAATGATAGTATAATGGTTTATTTAATAGCTGACATACTGTTAGTTTTATTTTAGTTTTTGACGAAGGCCTATATTCTTATTAACATACATACAGTTTCTGCAGTTGAGTTTCCAGTCAATGAATAATCTAATGTCCACTTGACTACTTAATTTAATACAACTGCGGCTTAAAGTCAGACAAAATCATGATCAATTGTACCACAGATTCTTACAAAATTTAGTTTAGTTTAATTTAAAAAGTAAGTGTGAGCAATAAACACTTACTTTTTAAATTAAACTAAACTAAATTTTTGCTCACACTTTTTTTCTTGGGATTGGCAAGAAACCATGTCCATATCCATAAACCTCTATAGATTATAGAAAGTATTATAAACATCTTTGTATAGCCTATGTATGTGTTAATGTCCCTCACACTCAAGCAAATACCTGAAGAAAAAACTGTTAGAAAAAAAGTACATTAACACGACGGTAGGGCAACACTATTTTGATGATGTGATATAATTAATTTTAAATCTGCAACTGGAAAATGAAAAAGAATATTTCCCAAAATGTCAAACTTTTCCTTTAATTAAGTTTTGTTAGAATGAACATCTTAAATAACATACATGTCGAATTATGCTCGGACTTGTCAGTTGCAGCAGATGTCAGTTAAATGCCTGTTAAGGCTAACTGTTAGCTAGCCAACTAGTTAAGCCTGTGAGTTAGTAGTCAGCTGAACATTTCAAGCTGAATCATCAATGTAGTTTGAATAAATAATTTAGTAAATTAGGTAGGTCATGTAATGTATAAAAAGATGTTTTGTTTCAAGAGCTTAGCTAACAAATGACGCTAGCTAACATTAGCCATACCAGCAGCCATGTCAGCAGGATTTAATGTGATTTGTCCCTCATTTTGCTGACCTTCTCCTGACCCCAGCTCCATATTAAACAGAGAAATGTTCTCATCTAACTTTTGTCAAGAAAAGGAATTGTTTCTAAAATGTAAATTTCTTTCATAATTGCTTCTGTGGTTTTCTATGGTTCTTGTTTGTTCTGGAGCCGACCCTGTTCTCCACTTGTGCCAGTTGTGTCACACAGATAAACTCAACTACAGCAAAACCAAGATGATTTTTACGTTGCATAATTTACCTTCAGATTCTCTTGCACAACAATGAAATCAAGAGACAGGACTGTTTTTGTTGTCTATTTATTCTTCTCCAGTAATCGCCCTGCCAACGCCCACAGGGGCCTCCATTTGGAGAAATTGCCCACAGACATGTGTGCCGTGATGCCAGTAGGTGGTCTTGCCCATGGCTTGGTGGGTGAGTATGGTGTAGTCCCTGCTGCCACTGCCGCTGACATATCAGAGCTGTTTATTAAGAGGATGACAACTCTATCAAGCCCCATAAGCGGGCCCTCGTGCACGGGAGTTCTTTTGTTACTTTCAGGGAGGGTGTCATCAATCTTGCTGCCATGCTACTCTCTTGAGCTGTTGATGGCAAACACGATTCCTCCCTTTCTGCCTGGCCTCTCCCGCCTCACAGTCTGGAATCAGGCGTGGTGAGGGGGATCGGGGAGATAGGACGACTTTCCCCGAGAGTGCCTTTTCTTGACAGGCGACAGAGCGAACCGTTTGGACACCAGGGGTGGATATATGGGACCATGTAATGAAAAGACGTTGACAGGACCTGCTTGCTCTGTAATGAAGGTCCTCTGGAGCTGTGAATGGATACACACATCTTTCACGCTTTTGTCTCCCTGCCTTTCCCACAGAATCTATCTCACCCATTTTAACCAAAAAAGAAGATGTAAGAGAAGCAGACAACAGCTCGCAGTGTTAAACATTTACATACAACAACGTGGTGTGAATTTTTAATGAAACAGCAACTAAGTTGATTTACACCCACAATTTGTAACTAAATCCCTTCTACATAAGCCCATGAAGGTGCAGTTGAATGCTCAGCCTCTTTCCTCTCTCTGTCAGTACTACTCAAGACTCAGTCTAGCTCACAGAGATGGACTATGATGTATGTACTCCACTTTAGCATTGGCTGAGGTCACAGACTCCATAAATGTCTTAGACAAGTCTGATATTTTAATCTCTTTTTAGTGAGGGGATGTTGGGCCTTTGCCCAATCAATACACAGGGCAATAGTCTTGCCAAGATATCTCATGGTAGCTTTTCATTGTTCTGTCTGGAAGCAGAAATGTCAACCAGAATAGCACTCCTCAAAGTGAAGCTGAAATACAGCTGTCTGTAATCAAAACCCTCATTTTTTATGATCTAGAAGCTTCTGACAATGATGAACGCAGAAACTGGTGATGTCAGTCTGAAGATGACTCTCGTCTGAGGAAGAGGGTGCAGACTGGCACCTGAAATTTCTTTTTTTATTCTCAAATCAAATCCAATCTGTTTAATTCATCAGTCAACAATGGCCCAAAAAGCTAGAGAGTGTGTGTACTGCTGCCTTTGTGAGCACACACAGCCAAAAATATCAAGACACTTTCTCACATTAACATTGCTAATTTGTTTGCCAATGGTTTCTAAGGCACTGAATAATTGGCTGTGAGATATTGTTTGCTCAGGTGTTCCGCATAATTGAATTCTGTATTGAAAATACTGTGGATGAATGTTGGAAGAATACTGAAAAGAATCATGTACTTTGTGATACATTTTCTTTGAAATGGAGCTATTGGTGTAGATTAATTCTCATCCCAATAGCGACTAGTGATGATTGCAGCACATTAATTATCTGGCTAATGTATAAAGCACACACGTTTTGAATTTTAAAACAATTTAACTCGTGTTCACCCGTTTCCAATTAATATCCTCTTGTTGGATTTCTTTTAGGGATGATATGGTTTCTTTGCACATGATGACCTTTTGAAACTCACAGATTGATTTCATGCATCCATTTTTCCGCCGAGCTGCATGCTGATAAGCCCGTTAATGTGTATTGCTTTGTAGCTCAGCCCATATGCACATGTGGAAGTGATAGAGCGTCCAGCTGGACACATGTGTTGACAGAGCCGGATGATGTATTTGATCATAGTTAGTTCTGAGGAGGGTCTTGGTTGGGTTTGATTCAGCTGTTCAACGCTGACCTAATGCCTCAGCTCAATCAGTCACCTTGTCCTCCCCTTGACTCCTCACCCCGTGATCCTTCCCTCCCAGCCCAAAGGACTCAAGAAAAACAAACCAAGTGCTTAAGACCCTCCCTTCGCTGAAATCCCTGTCTGGACTGAAATAAATTAGATATGAAATCAATGCTGGGTCCTCAGGTTGTTGTTTTCACAGAGCACTCTGTACTATGTCTCTTCACAGTAGCATGAAAATCTGGGCCTCATACAACATCAGTGGGCTGCCTTCTCCTATTAACATATCCATTGTCAGGCCTGTAAAAATGACTGAATCAACAAGTAAACGTTTGCATTTGTAAAAATAAAAAATGCATTTAAGAAAGTCTGCACAATTCTTAGCCTATTTCAGCCCTCTGCTCTCAACATACAGTATTTAGTGTGTGACGGTTTTAGAACATTATAAACATTATAGCCATCACAGTTTTCTACATCATCATCTCACTCTGGCCCAAGCGAGAAGCTTCCTGTCAGCCAACTGATGCGAACGTTGAAGTTCCTTAAACCTGCATTCTATCGAACGACCAGCAGGGGGCGACTCCTCTGGTTGCAAAAAGAAGTCCGGTTCCATTAGATATGATGGTAAAATGACCCTACTTCTCAGCTGATTTATTACCTCAGTAAACACTTTCCTATTGAGTTTATGGTCTCAATCACTAGTTTCATGTCTTCTTCAATACAATATGATGTTCATTTAGTAAATTATGGTCCCATTTAGTGGAAAATAGACCATAAAGCAGAGTATGCTTTAGGGTGGGATTATCTGAGATTGACAAGCCATTACCATGGCAACCTGTCAGTCAGGCTAGAGTGACTCATAACGTTACCCATGGCACTGTGTAAATTTATCTAGCGCCGTTGAAAAAGCTTTTTAGGAGTTGGCTGTTGTCAGCCAAAAATGACAGTTAACATGAATTACAGATGCACCTGGCTAAGCAAGCTAGCTAGCTCCACACATCGTGCCTAAATATGGTCACGTCCGATGCCACTGGTTGCAAAAAATTAACATGGCGGCCAAACTCGAGGCTTCAGAACGGCATTTCACAAACCAACGGGTGACATCACGATGACTACATCCACTTCTTATATACAGTCTATGCTCTGGCCCCTTTCATACAAGTTCATACACTTTCACCAAGTGGTAGCACTGTTAGGTCAAGGCTACATAAGCTGCAACTAGCATGACATACCTGAATCTGCAACACAACTGTCTGTGGTTGAGTTGCATCCTGAATAACGCAGGCATCATGTTTTTACAAGGAATGCTATGTGGAATAAAAACACTGATATCTCTAGTTCTGCTGCTGCATATTGATCCTGTCCATCACAAGTCAGACATTGCTCGAACACAACTTGCTGGCCCTAAAGTTGAGTTGAAAGTTAAAAAGAGATATTTACAGCCTTATATATTTAGGTTTTCTCAGTGTCTATGTAAGTGTCCGTCTTACAATGCTCTCCATAATCTCAATCTCTTCACCAAAACATCCTGTTTAATTTTCAAATCTATCATCTGGTTCCTTCAGTGTCATTAGAGCTCCTCTCGTGCTTCTGTTTATCAGCCTGACATTGTTTGTGTGTGTTCGACTCTGCGGTCTGATAATCAGTGACAGAGATGTTATAGAAGTGTGACAGAGTTCTATTTGCCATAACGGACATCTTTATCCCATCACTTTCCTTGTTTTTTTGTTTTTTTTGCAACTTACCAAGTGCTGGCATCTGTGGTGTTTCCAGGCGGATACACTGCAGTGGACTGGGAATTCAGGAGGATTCAGACAAGGCCACAGCCGCTCAGGCAGGTGGAGAGAAGGAAGAGCTGTGCGCACAAGCAGTCCAGGAAGAGAGGAGAGGGAAAGAAAGATATGAAGGGAGAGAGAGAGAAAAACTGACTTGCTTCTTATACTTGACATGTTTAGCAGATATGCTGTCAGATTCAGAGGTCAGAGGGGATGATTGTATCGACGGGTTTTATTCGCTGGTCATTAGTGAAAAAGAGACGGAAAGCAGGCTCAAACAGCAAAAGCTTGTGATGCAGAAAAGCACTATAAATCACCACATACAATTTGTGTTGAACGA